TATGGGGGAATTTGGGGGTTTTATGTGGAAATCTGGAGTTTTTATGGGGAAATTTGGGTTTCTCCTGTGAAAATTTGGGGTTTTCATGTGGAACCCAGAACCATCCCCAGAACCCCACAAGGGATAAAAACCCCCAAAAAATCACCCAAAAATCTCTCAAAAAAACCCCTCAAGAACTCCAAAGACCTCCCCAAAAAAGTCCAAAATATCGAAGATCCCCAAAAAATCCCAACATCTTCCCAAAAATCCCACTTTACCCTCAGAACTCAGCTGCTCGTACTCACCCAGAACCACCCCCAGGACCCCACAAGGGATAAAAACCCCCCAAAAATCACCCAAATTCTCCCCAAAAAAACCTCAAAACAAACTCGAGGACTCCCGAAAAATCCCAAAATGTTCCCAAAAACCCCAAAATGTTCCCAAAAAATGGGTTCTTACCCTCAGAACTGAGCTACTCGTTCTCACCCAGAACAATCGCCAGGACCCCACAAGCCACAAAAACCCCAAAAAATCACTGAAAAAACCTCAAGAAACCCCAAAAACCTCTAAAAAAAACCTCAAGAAACCCCAAAACCTCCCAAAAAAACCCCTAAATACTGAAAATCCTAAAAAAAACCCCAAAATATTCCCAAAAAAATGTTTTCTTACCCTCAGAACTCTGCTACTCGTTCTCACCCAGAACCATCCCCAGGACCCCTCCAGTGACAAAAACCCCAAAATATCACCGAAAATTTCCCCAAAAAATCTCAAAAAACCCCAAAGACCTCCCAAAAAAACCCCTAAATATTGAAAATCCTCAAAAAACCCCAAAATATTAAAAAAAAAGGGTTTTTACCCTTGGAACTCTGCTGCTCACACTCACCCAGAACCATCCCCAGGACCCCGCCAGCGACAAAAACCCCAAAAATACCCCAAATTCTCCCAAAAATCACCCAAAAAACCCCCCCCAAAAAAACCCAAATATTGAGGACACCCAAAAAAACCCCAAAATATTAAAAAAAATGGGTTCTTACCCTCAGAACTGAGCTGCTCGTAGTGATCTGAATCCAACCCCAGGACCCCGCGAGCGACAGAAACCCCAAAAAATCCCCCAAATTCTCCCCCCAAAAAAACCAAAAAATCCGAGGAGTCCCCAAAAATCCCAAAATGTTCCCAAAAACCCCAAAATATTAAAAAAAATGGGTTCTTACCCTCAGAACTCAGCTGCTCATATTCACCCAGAACCATCCCCAAGACCCCGCCAGTCCCAAAATCCCAAAAAAATACCCCAGATTTTTCCCCAAAAAATTAGAGGAGTCCCCAAAAATCCCAAAATCTTCCCAAAAACCCCAAAATCTTCCCAAAAAAAGTTTCCTTACCCTCAGAACTGAGCTGCTCGTACTCATCGGACACCATGTGACCRCACAGGGGGAACTCGTCCACTTTTGCTTTTTTCCTCCCCAAATCGAAAATTCGGATTTTTGGGTCTGGGGGCGACACCGAAGGGGTTTAAGGGGATTTTTGGGGTTTTTTTTGGGGGTCTCAGCCCCATCCCGGGGGGGTTTTTGGGGTCGGGACTCACCGGGGACCCCGCGGCAGAAACGGGATTTGGGGTAGGGTTTGTTCTTGC